ATGGAAAATTAAATGCCTTTCATACTCCTTAGACAAGATAGTTCCTAGGAATGTATGTGCCGCAAATGATGCGGCAGTTAGAGATTTTTAAAGCACAACAAAACATTGAAATACTGCTAAAAATTTTCATGTCTAAATCAGTGATTTGGTCTTGAAAAGTGTTCCAGCTAACAGAATTGTGCTGAATTCCATGGCAGCAGCCTTGCTAATCCGATTAAAACCTCTCTAAAGTTTTCTTGCTTGCTTTTTTATATTTTTGTCTTTGTTGAATTAATTCCATCCCGTTTTTTACAAGTGTGTTTAATCTTCAGCCTTGTTCAATATCACTGTCCACCAAGTGTTTTGGTTTGGTTTTGGTTTTCTTTTCTGAATTCTTGCTTTGATAATCTCTGACCATTCTGATCATCTTCAAAGCAGCCTTTCACTTGGAGCTGTACTCCAGGAGCAGCGTCTGTTCCATGTTTTAGAAGACAGCTGCTGAAACTACCTGTCTTTCCTCTTTTTCCTCACTTTTTTCCTTGTTAGCTCCTGGAGCCTTTCGTTAGCCACGGTTTGCATGCTCTCTACCATCATGTTGATCAGGCTAGAAATGGCATGAAAGGAGCAGAAAGAAAAGCCTGAAGTGCTTTTCTTAAACCTGGAGCTAAAGAAGAAACGGGAGGTATAATGAGAACGGGGTTGAGTTTGGAAAAAGATGAGGAGGTGACAGATGAGGTGTAAGTGTAAGCGGGAACGAGCTGCTGGGAAAGTCCTACAGAAACACGTTTTAGTAGTGGGCAGTCTTTGCGTATACCCAAGAGTGACTATACAGCAGCCTGAAATCTGATTTTTGCATCAATTACTTAAGATATTTCGTGAAAGAATTGGGATGCATATACAATTTGTGTATTCGATATCTACTTATTTTAATTCAGCATTAGGGAGGATGATGAGAACTATTGATGAGGCGAATCTGAAAATACATCTTACAGTAGATTTATCTGTACTTGCCTTAATAGATTGTTTGCTGGAATGCAGATTGGTTAGCTGTGACGCTAGTTTTTTGGGGCTTGTTTTGGTTTGGTTTTTTTCACTGTAATGTTGATAGCTGGACTTTCAGAGGAGTGGAGCAGTCGCCTGCTGTCTGTAGATATGCAAATGTCGAGTGTCTTGAGAGGCACAGGGAGTGGTATTCTTTCAGCTTTACCTAGAAATCCTGTTAACAAGAATCCCAGCTCAGCAGACGGATTGGACAGGTACGAGAAAAGGATAAATTTTGCGTATGGAATGGGGGGATACTTGTGATAGGTAAAGTCAAATCTATAATCATAACACATTAATAAACTCCCAGTAATTTATAGTAATCTTCAAATTGTTATTAATGTTAGGGCACAAATGATGAGGGAGATGAGGATCGCTTTCTGAAGGCATTCGAAGGAATGTCTTGGTTGTTCACGTGTCATTTTAAATTGTTATAAGAAGGAGTGTTGGTGTCTGGTCCTGCATACCATTTTGAATCTAGGCAGAGGAAATGAGGTCCTGATTCTTCTAAAATACAGTTTTCTGTTTCTCTTCCCATTTGGATTGGGTGTGGGGAAGCGTATAGTACAGTTTTTCACATATATTACTGGAAAAATTAGTGTCTTATCTCTGCTGGTTACTGTAAAAATGAAAAATGGGGAAATGTTATGCTGCAGAGACTCGAGCGTGCTTGATGTTGGCTTGCTTGTGTTACTATTTCCTTATTGTTTGGGAGTGAAGTAAGAGGATGCTTAAAAAAGGAACAAAGCCCTCGTGTTGCGTTCCAGGCTGTCTTGTGATCGTTCCTTCCACAGACAAAAATAAGTTGCTTTGAACCTATTCTTGTACTTAAGGAACTCCGGTTTTAAATCTTGCAGCATGTAAGTATATGCCACTGTAAATCCAGCTCTTGCAAGTCACATGCTGGAATTGCATTTCAGGTTAGTCGTTAAAGCATGGGCAGAATTCATGGTATAGGCATGATGGTACGGGCAGATACCAGCATCTCTTCAGGCGACGTGCTACGTATAAAGAGTCCGGGAATGCAGTGCACGTGAACCATGCCTGTGAATGGGAGGGTTGTGAAGTTTTTGCACCTTTTCCATATGTTTTTATAAGTCGTTCAATAAGTTCTCTAACAGGTTCAATAAATTGTTCTCGTCACCTACAAAATAAGTTCTGTCTAGCTATTTTTAGCATATGACATCCCATTCTTTCCTTTCCTCCTGTCAGAAAGTCCATCATTAGTATGTATTTTGGAATTTACTGAAGTTACCGCGTTTGAAGTAGTTCTGTGGCCGAGAACCTGATCTGCTCTTTGCTGGCAAAGCTGTGTAATGCTTTTCCTTCTCCCAGTCACAAACTCTGCCTTTCACTTTTTATTTTTAAAGTGAATGTAGTAATAGTTTAAGTGTTCAAAAGATAAATGCTGCCAATTATTCCATATCATAAGCTGGAAGATGTATTGAGGGGAAAGATTGGATGTTTTTACAACTTCTTGTCTGTTCTCCAGAAGTCATACGTCGATATAAAATAAAGTTCAGTGCCACCAGCAGTCAGGTGGCTGCTTTTCTGAAATACGTGTGTAATTCCAACTAACGTCCAGTCTCCGGCAGAGGGTTGTGCTCCAGGATTTGCTTTTCTGCTTTTGGTTCTTATCCCTGACCCCGTGGGGGGTCCTGGAGGAGAGGGAAGAGTTTTATAGTCAAATATGTGTGATATTCAAGGGTTCCACTTAAACTGATTTGCAGTAACCCAGTGTAACGTAATTGGAATTGTGGAAAAAATATTGACACCTTGTAGACAAGGCTGTAGCTATGTTTAGGATTTAAAGCAGGTTTGTTTAGGAGAAGATTTCTCTTTGTTCTTCCGGTTGATAGCGAAGAACACTTCAAAGTTAGCTTTGAAGCTTCTGTATTTTCGAGAGGAGTGAGACTGGGTTTGGTTTGTCACCTTTCACGAGTGGCGAAGTGGTTGCTGAACTGTCTGAAAGATCGTCTCTGGAGGTTCAGTCCGCGTGGCGCCGCGTTAGGCTGGCAGACTACCTGCGGCATCAGCAGCGGAGGAGTAACAACCGTGGTGGCTTCTAAAGCTCTCACGCAAACCTAACTGCAGGGTTTTCACAGTTCACCTTTTCTTGTTTCCATTTCCCCTTCAGACTTATGCTTGAATAGCGTGCTGGAAGCACGTCTAGGACTCGTCGTCCTGGTTGCCCAATCTGGGAGTTAGCTTGAACTTCTCACCCGGGCGGACTGGAGCCGATGCTGGACTGGCTGAGTTGGAAGCACGTGCGCCTGCGTGGCAGTGTCTCTGGGTATCGCTACAGCTGCGCTTCTGCAGTGCATGGGAATGAGAGCCATTCGGTTTTTTCTTTCCCCCAAAGATTATTCTTTTCTGAATATAGCTGCACCATCTTTTCAGTGAGGCAGTTTTGCTTTAGGCAGATTAAAGCCCTGAAAACTTGGAGCTCGTTGCACAAGCCTTGGAAACAGTAGCTTTCACTTTCACTGTTTCTCAGCTTCTCTTCCCCTCCACCCCCCGGTTATTTGATGTAGAATGTTGTCAACAATCAAACTATTAGATGTTATTATGCTGATAATCTGCTTTGTGCCATACAGTCAGGTTCTACCTTTTTTTACCATGTGAACCCAATTAATTCCACGTAATCACAGGTAAAACAGTGTTACCATCAGAAGAGCCAGTGCTACAGGGCTTTTACAGATGGATTCCCTTCAGGGTTTTAGAAGAAAAAGAAACCGGTTTGCTTTTTGTATGTCAGTTGTGTTTTGTGGCAGAGACCTGGAATTTAAAATGAAAGATGCTCGTCAGACCTGTACTTGAATGCTACAGAACACCAGAAACTTAATTTTGTTGGTGTTCTCGACAGAAGGAATGGGTAAATGCTTGTCATCAGGCATCTGGCTTTACTCGAAATAAAGCATAACACTTGCATCTACAATGGCACTCTTGTTTTTCTGCATTTGTTTGGACATTTTGGACATAAACTAGAGCTATATTTCTCATCATGTGCTTTTTTTTTTTTTTTACATTGTGTTTCTTTAAAAATAAATTAGGAGGAAAAAACTGCCGTTTTTGGCATCTCTGCCACTTAATTTTGCAGAATCAGTACTTCCAAAGGTGTTAATCCTTGATTTTACTGTGCAGCCCAATGTAGTCTGCTTTTCTGGTTTCATGCTGACGCTGACATTGCTAACAGTGTGACAAATGCGCATTCTCCGGAGGTATAGAGAGAGGTGTTTGATTTTTGTAAGATTGTCTTAGATGAAGAAAATACTATTTCAATGTTTTTCGTTCTTTGAAGTTCAGTAGTGTTTGAAATCCACATAATAGGGAATCTCTCATATCCCTTTTTCGTAGCTTCTTTTTGACAAGAATTTTTAGAACAGGCATCTCATTTGACAACATCGTAAAGAAGACTGTGACTGTAAGATGGCACAGTTCTGACGTGGAATAAGTTCACTGTCAGTGTACATTTGTTAAAATTCTGATCGATTTATTCTATATTGACAGAATTTATCCTGGATCAGGTATCGTGTGTCTGTGCCGCTCTTTGCCACGCATCGGCTGGTGATTCCACAGTCGACATATCATGTGCTCAGGAGAATTTGACAGAAATGAGATTATGTGCTGGAACTGGGTAAAATTTTCGCACACGTGCACGTGTCTTATGTTAACAGTCATGGAACTGTGGCCTAATCCGTTTGTCCTTCATATTTTAGAACTAAAACCAAGGAATGCGTAAACAGCAGTACTTTTTGCCTGCCATACAACACTTTGTGACACTGCTTTCCTATTGAAAATGTCATCCAAGACTTAAGTTGTAAGGCTCTTTTAAATAGGAAGAAATATCTTTGTGTAGAGATACACATAGGTAGATAGGATTTTTATGTTCTAATATGAGAAAGTATATATACCTCGCTGAAAATACCTGCCTTCGTCTCTGAATTGCTCCTTCACATACAGAGACAATTTAACCAAAGGGAGGTTAAATATAGGTGTTCTTTATAATTTTCGTTTTCCTGCTTTTGGTGTGGTTAAGGATGCGTTTAGATTCTTCGCTAGTGAAACGGGGCTTGAGATGACCTTACAGAACTTCTGGTGAAACGCACCTGTGGTAGAGACACGCGGTCCCCGCATTACGTCTGAAATGCATTGTGCAACACGAAGGGATGATAAAATCTAACTCCTGAGTTACAATCAACTCCACCTGCCCTCAGGGAGTAGTAGGGGAAAAAAGGTAATAAAGTACTATAGTTCATATTTTAATGGCCTTGTGCACAGCGTTGTCAGCCTTGCTACAATTACAAAATATGGTTTAGTGTAGAATAATTTAGAAATAAGGCTTTGCTGTCGGAATGGCAAAACCAGATTGTACTTCAATTATTTTTCTATAATTTAAAAATAAAACTCAAGAAAGCACAAATATTTTTTCTATAATAGATTCAAGGATTTCTCGCTCACATTTAGAAGTAATCCCGTGAAACTTTGATACTTCTGTTTCTCTGAAAGTTAAGTCCGAAGTGAAACAGAAGGCAGACCAGCACCAAATGGTCTCCCTGCCTTCTGTTTGGGGGAAGAAAATGACTAGCGGAGCGAACAGTTTCAGCGAAAGCCTGAAACTCTGTGTTTGTGTATTGATCACGTTTGCCTTCCAAGGTAAGAAACTGGCCAGCTGTTACCATCTACAGTTAAAAGTTTTTTAAATAATGTGGAGAGGTTTCAGGAGAGTCTTAGAGAAAACCTTATTATTCCCCTTTTTTAAAAAATCTGGACTCAACGCTTTTCTCCATTTATGTAATACTTAACAAATAGCTAATGATGGTATTTTGAGGTATCGGAGGTATTGTATTTGGAGGTATTTGAGGTATTTGAGGTATTAGAGGCTTTGTTTTCCCTTCTACTCTTTACTGCTTTCATCTGCAAGAGTTGTAGCCCATTCACCCTGTAGCGGTTCCCTCGTTTATCGCAGGTTCTTGTTTGTCACTTTTTGTCCCTCAGAATCAGCTGTTAAAACCGTTACTTCATTCATGAAAGCTTATGAAATTGGGATCACTTCAGCAAAATCTCGTTGGGCTTGAATATTTTTCCTAGAGCCTGTATGATCGGCGTGGAATAGGACGGAGGCTATGCAAACTGACGTGGGTTGCCCGGCTGTGCCGGAGCCGGGCGGTGGGAAGCCGGCGCGGGGGCAGAGCTGGTGCCTGGCGGGAGGGAGCGACGGGGCCTGCCTTGTTCTCGCACTCGGGTTATGTAGAAAGGCAACATGAATATTTGTCCCTTTTAAATCTCAAAAATACTTCTCTGGTAACTTCAGTGATTAACGTGCGTAGAAACCTGAAATTCCTTGGAACTCACTACTGAAGCTAGTCTGGTTTGATCTTTGAGAGGAAAGGAGTGAGAGCGTATCCATGCCTGCTGTAAAAGATCGCAGTCTGTTACTGTATTGGCCTCTGTGCCGAGGTAAAGAACAGACTCCCTGCCTTGAGGAGCTCTTGGACTGAAGATATAAATTAGGTACAGAACTGGACAGGGATTACATCCACCTAGACTTTACATGCCTTAAAACAACCATAGCAAGGTAGTGAGAATGCAGGTACAACTGCCATTTAACTCTGAGCGTTCGGTTGCTCTGTCCAGTCCAGGTGTTTATATGGATATTAACTATGGACGCTTCTATAATTCTCCAAGTTGTAACGTGGCCTTAGGAAGTCGGGATGACGTTCACAGGAGATAGGGATCCTCTCGCTTGCTGACCTTTTTATGTAAATCTTCCCCAGTTAATGGCACAAAATACACCTGCAATTGCTACCATCCTGCAGACTGGAAGGCAGCAGGAACCATTAAAGAGCACCAGGTGCTCAGCCTGGGCACAATTCTTGCAGGACAACCTCGTAGTAAGGTTGGGGTTTAAGGGATTTAGGACTCCTGCGTACATTTGTCACCCTTCCTCAGCAGAGTATCTTTGGTGTTGGGAACTGTGTACTTTATACAGAACCGCACGTGTGGTTATGCACAACATGCTGACAGTCTTTTTGGTGCTTCCTATAGAGCGAAGAAAGCCGAACACATTTAATTGGAGGTACATTAGACACAAAAGATGTGATTAAAAAAAAATAAAAAAAAAAAGAGAGAGGGAGATGGCCAGGAGCCCATTAAGTGTCTCAAACGAAGGAAAGACACAAAAATTTGAGTGGGTTGCTTATTCATTAAGTTCCTTAAAATCAAAGACAGTAAAAGCAGCAGATTTTTTGCAAAAGATCGTTGGCTTTCTGTATGGCTTTATTGCTTACATAGAAAGGAGTGTGGCAGGGAGGGCTGAGGTGACAAAATAATTGAAGCAGCTGCTAACAGCATTTTAAATTTCAGGCTGATTTTGCAGGAAAAATATGTCTGCATAGGTTATTAATAAGCAATTGAACCGGTTGCAGAAACACTTTGCATTTTTTAGGTTTCATAACCTAATTCTTGCTCAAATATCTTGTGAGATTAGTAAATCTGACCTAGGCCCTTTATGCAATTATCTGAACTGTGGAAGAAATGGGGAAAGGAAAAATAGATTTGACGAATCCAAACCAAGGCTGTAGTTGTCTCATTCCTCAGCAGGCGATAGGCAAGCATCCCGATCTTCAGAATTAAACCTTTTTCTCTGCTTGGTAACAGTTACCTGACGGCTTCATTTATGTTGCAGCTTAGTTAGGGTGCTCCCATAGCCAAGATTTCTCTTACGATGAAATTGTGCAAGCCAGCGACCGATCGCAGTTAGCTGCCTTCCTGGCCTGCCAGAAGAGCATTCCTGAGTTGCAGTGTTGTGTATTACATTGTGTGAAATTACTGGCATGTGATGAGCTCCGAACTCGGTGAGCGGGGAAAGTTTGTATCTGTGCTGCACTGGGGTAGTTTATAAACTGTGGCTCCTGAGAAATGTTTTGAAATGTCAAACGTTGGTATTTTGTGGGTTAGATGAAGCAAATGCAGAAAATAGGAAGCAAATTAAGAAGGAAAACAAAATCTTACTGTTTGCTTCTCAAAACCTCTTCAGTAGTATTTGGCACTGGAAATACTTCCTAGCTGGTGGTTGAGCTTTTTTTGTTGTTTTCCATACTGGTAAAGGAGAAAAATCCTGTTGCCCTGAGTGGCACAGGTGGCAACGCGGTGAGGAGTCTGCTGGCCTAAACCGTGGTCCCAGATCCACCGTGGGAATCGTATCTCTGCGGCATGCTCCGTTGCCAAGAACGGGTGTACCAAGTGAAGGAGCTTGTGTGGTTTTGTTAGTAATTTAGAAACCACAAGCAAGATTTTTATGGCTTTATAGGCAGAGCTGGTTTTGAAAGTGTTTGGTGTTTTCTAAAACGTGCAAAGGCTTCTGAGCTGTGTCAGAAATGCAGTAAGAGTGCTGATTGCTTTCCATGAAAGACACGTTCCTAAAAACTTTCTCTTCGAGGACCACATGAGCATCTTGGATTTCTAAATTCAAAATTACCACGGAAAAATTATACTTGTAAAGGCCCTCAGCCTTTGATATTCTTCCATAAAGCCAGCACCTGTGTGAACGCTCGGGAGCGTGCTCCGCTCTGAAGACTGGGTCTTCGTTATTTTGTATTCCTGGTGTTCGTTTTGAGTATCTCTATCAGCAAAAGATCAGAGAAGTCAAATGATCTTACAGATGTTAAATAATCATGAAGTAAATTGGATTGATATGATTTTTATTTTGAAAGAGGAAACGACTCCTGTTCTGTTGTGGTTTACAAATATTTAAATGCTTAAACTAATTGTCAGCCTCAATTTTGAATGAGGAAGCAAAATAAAATGCATGATGTACTCCGAGTTTCTCATAGTACTTGCCAGGAGAAACCAAGTTTTGAAAACAGTTGGCCTGCTTTCAGACACAGATTTTAATGAGATTAAAAGAGAAAGAATGTGCAAGTTTGATTAGAAAGTTTGGCCCTATTCTGACCATGGGTCCTGGAAGCCAGGACAGGAAAATGTTGTATTTTTTAGTGGCAGAATCCATTTGTTTTGGAAAATGAAAAGTAGGAAGCAGTGGGTAGCTGTCGAATAATTACAGCGAAGTGTACTACGTTGGTATGAGAGAATCTATACTGTTGTACCCAGACTGCAGGAGGGCTGACAGGCACTTTCAGTGGCCCAGACGTTTTCTCCTTGACTTTAAGTTTTCCAGCTGGTTATTTGGCAGTCATAATTTAACCAAGGATTTTGTGGGTTCTGCAAAACTTTTATAGCAACCTAATTTGAAAACAGAAACGAACGCAATAGTCCTCCACTTGCGGTGTGTCAGGGCTTTTGCTACAGCTGAGATGAAGGTCGGTGTTAGAGCACGCTTGAACTTGGCCAGGCGGAGAGCGTGGTGCATTGCAGAATGGGACAGGAGGCCTGGTGCGTGAGGGAAGATCCGTTTGCTTATGGGCACACACCCAGCAGAGGGTGAAGGAATAGATTCGAAAATAAATGTGCAAATGAAGAACTAAAATTGTTTTCCGAAAGTCTCTTTGGGTATACGTGTATACTTTGTCAGCCTCGTATCAACGTGCTTTATCAGTAAGTAACAGAGGTGGTGCGAGGAAGGCATGGTATTGTGGGCGGTGGGGGAGGTCAGCGTGTGAACACCTTTTTAAATGACCTGGAGTATGAAAAGGCTTGAGAATCACTGAGTTAGCATAAAGGCGATAAAAAGGTCTTTTGGTCCTTATAACAATGTTTGAAAGGCTGTTTTCTTTCTCATTTAACATGCAGCAAGGACATATGGGAGAAGGCGAGGTAACAATATTCCTATTTAATTTTCTAATGTTGACAATGTCTCATGGGAGAAATAACATTAAGTTGTTACTAGAGGGCAAACTCCAAAATTTAAGATTATAAAGCATCAGTTTCACATAAGTTTACATAGTCTGCATGCCATAAATAACCGTTTTAACTGAATTAGGTAGTACTCCACAGTAGTACTATTGAGGCTGAAATGATCACAGTCCTCACAGCGGACATCACCTATACGATTCCTGACACTGGAGGGCTGTGTTGCTGTGCTCGTGTGTACGTTATGAACGCCAATGCTGGAGAAGTTTATTTTGGTTCTTTTGGGTGCTGATGTTTTTCTTGACGCAGCGTAGACTATAGCGAGTATACGTCCTGGCCTGCTAGGGTAAAGAACCAGATCCTGCAGTGGTGAACTATCTGCCAGCAGTGGTACTGCGGATGCACCCGAACGGGTTGTTTAGGTATGGGGAGCTGCTCCCTTCCAACACCACCTGCAGGACTGGGGTCTTGAGAGCCGAAACAAAAGACGTGCCTCAGTTCATTAGGGGAAAACAGAGTAACATTGAAGTCTATATTACAATATTTTTATCATAGTAGGAACCAGGTTTGCCTAGCTACAGAAATAGGCCTGATTATAGTTGATTTTTATTTTAATTAAGGGTGTACACAGATTCTTGAAATTTCAAATAAAGCAAGCTGACCAAGCCTTCCATTTTTTATTCGTGTAAATTGTGTGGACTGTGGATTTTATTGTATTTTTTCTTTCAACTTGTTAGCTGTTTGATTTTTTTGCATGGAAAATGTCTGGATATTGGAACTGGTCAAATTTTCTGTTTTCAAGATGTTTCCTTTTTTTAAAATAAATTTATTTCAAAGGAAGGAAGCAAGAGCAGAATAAATTAATCTTACCAATCCATTACTGTGGTAGATTGTAATAAATTCTGGAAAAGCAGACATAGTATATCGCATCGTAGGCAAAAGGAAATGTATCCTAAAACTTGTAGCACACCTCATTTGTTTGCTTACTTTCCCTATATATGTTTGTTTATTCCTAAAATGCTCCTTAAATGAGTAGAAGTCTATTCAGTTTGTTGTCTAGATACTGAATACTGTAACCAAAGAGTGAATTCGTGGAAGAGATCAGCTTGTGTGTTCTAGTTATGATATTATCCAGTTGCACTTATAAATCAAAGAATCTTATTTAAAAGTAATAAATATTGTTAAGGAGATCTATGATAAAGGATTATCATAGACGAATATTGGGCTGTGAGGGGAAGCACGCTTACAACATTTTCTCTTAGAGTGAGTCCATTAACGAAACTCTGTTGTAACATCTCAGTAAACTTGCTTCGAGGAATGACACAGTACTGCCTAGTTCTCAGGCTTCATTTGCAGTAAATTACAGTGGGTCTTCCTGTTTTTATCAGGGTATTTTTGTTAGTTACAAGTGGGTGGTTTATGATATGTTTTGATATCAGGTAATTTAAATGTGTAATATATTTAGCTGGTAGAATTCTTGTTTTCCCATCTGCACTGTGAAATTGTATCTACTCATTGTAAGAAGCTGTTCACTGGCAAACGCTATATACGGCTTAGGTTTTACTGATGTCTGCTATTGCGAAAGTCCCAGAAAAAAATTTGGCTTATATTCTCTTCTGGTTTTACACCTTCTTAAAAAAAATCCAATTGGAAACATGAAATATTCTGGAAAATGGTCAACTTGAGCATCCATTAGAAATACTGTTTTGTTTCAAATTTTCATTAGTTGCAGTGCAGTTATGAAGAAGGTAGCAACCTTTTCCCTGAAATAATGCCTTTCAGTTATTGAATGATATTGAAAACTGTAAGGGTCATATGAAACTGAGAACGTAACTGCTCATTAAAAGGGAAGATTGCAAACAGTTCTACTGCTAATGCAGCAACCAGTGCATTTTTTAAAAATTATTTGAACAGTATGTGCTTTGTTCTGTTAGTATGTTTTTTTTCCTTCTTTTTTTTTAACCCCTCTTCAGGTCAGTCTTCACTGTTTCCAATGGAAGACGGGTTCTTGGATGATGGACGTGGGGATCAGACTCTCCACAGTGGTTTAGGATCACCTCACTGCTTCTCCCATCAGAACGGAGAACGCGTGGAACGGTATTCCCGTAAAGTCTTTGTTGGGGGACTGCCGCCAGATATTGATGAAGGTACGCCCAGAAAATCTTACCTTAATGACAAAGCCGTGGTGTGAAAGCTTTTGTCTGTTAGGTAATGAACGATTGTTTTCCGAACTCTGCGGCAAAGCTTTGATATGTAAATGGGTCCTTGCATGTCACCGCTTTCAGTCCATGGCAACCGTCAGATAATTCAAACTAGTTTAGGCTATAGCATTGTTCTGCCACTGAAGACCAAAATCATATGTTACCACACATTTAACTGACTTTTACAGTATAAAAATTATAAAAAAGGTATAGCGGAGCAAAAATAAACAAGTAAATACCACCTGTTGAAACTCCTAAATACATCGCAATCATTTTATAGGCACCGGACGCCCGCAGCAGGAAAAGCATTGCTAGTAGTTTTATGAAGTTTGTATAGCACAGTAAGTCATAGCTCTTTATGTGGATGCTCACGTGTAGTTCTCAGAGGTTGATTTTAGCAGTGATTATGTCCTGTGGTAGCTTCCAACGCGTGCACGGTGAGGGCTCAGACAGGAATGAATCTGTACAGAGGCAGCTGCGTACGGTGAGCAACCAGGAATTTGTGGTGGGTCCATCATACAGACCAAGGTGACAAATACTGCAGTTGTTATTAAAAAACAAAACCCCAAAATCTATACATATATGTATATATGTCACGCCCAAGTGTCGTGAAGCTTCATTTCACCACAGTTCTGTATTCTGTGTGTACGAGCGTGCCGGGATAGAGGTTAAAAGAACTATAGCAACTGTAAATCTGAAAAGTTGCTTTTTCTTAATCACAGAATCGTTTTAATACCTTTTTTTTGTGTCAGGGAGAGCGACTGTAATGCACTGCAGTGTGTACTACTGTGACGTGACAACCTGACTTCCATGTCAAACCTAAGAGCTACTTTATTATTAAAAGGTCGAATACAAAATGGTGTTTACAAGAGGAAAAATGCTCTTACAGTCCCTCTTTCTTTGTTGTTCTTGGGGTTTTGTTTGTTTTTAACTTTGTCACTTTTGTTGTTTCGGAAGCACGTGAGCACGTGAATAGTTTGGTCTCTGTGGACGCTAGTCATTGAAGAACAGAACCGCTGCCGAACCTGGGCTAGGAGGGCAGCTTGGACTTTTCAGAGCCGCTTCTGTCAGCGCTCTCCCTGTTAAATGCACGAGTGAGAATTAGAATAAGCAGTATATGATTTCAAATCGACATCACAGCTGAATTTCTGAGGTTTTTCTGATCCTGTTTCGAGAAAGCATTTTATGTATGTGCTTTAACATTAATTTTGTGTTAAGTGCTGTTCTGAACGGAGATCTGTTTTAAGAATAGATATGTAGTAAGTATTGTTCTCCTTGGTTTACATCTTCATCAGCGTGTAACCTTGACACGCTGCCCTGGCTGTATACCTTCCTGATACCTGTAGTGCACAGAGCAGCTGTTAGGACAGTGGGTCGTCAGTTGCTATTTCATTAGCAGCTTCATCAAAGAGTGCAAACAAACGGAAAAGCTGTAATTAGTAACACCTTTTCAGATTTCTATGGGGATGGGGAAAATCCTCTCAATGGTGTATGAGGAACCCCAACAGCGTGCTAGTATGGAAAGCTCTGTAATGCCATAAACAGAATACAGCTGCCAATTTAGATGATGCTCCAGCAATGTGAAGTTTGTTCTTCTTGTTTCAATTTTTTAATGACAAATTCTTGTCCAGAGAACTTTAACTAGCGATGGTTCAAATGTGTTTGTGGAGAAGGAACAGGGAATAATCACTCCATTTCAAGAACAGAATTGCAACTAGAAGACTTCTATGGGACTAGCATATGCAAATTTATACCAGTAGTTAGAGGTCAAAGGCAGAATTGAAATGGATGCAAGACTTGCTTCTTGATACAGTAATGCGTTCTTGCCATCTCTCCTATAAAATTCCATAACGACGTCCTGCAAGTTTACTCTGTTAGCTGGAGGTCAAGTTCGGGTAGGGATTGCACATGTGGCACTGGCATGTGATATGAGCAGGCACGGCTGGGTCTTGTGATAGTCCCTTCAGTTTTTTCCAGTCTTTCTGCAATTATAAGGCATATTGGCAGAGCTGATTGCTTACTAGCAAGTCAGCAAATTGTCTCTAAATTCTTTGGGGGAGAATAGTTGAAGCTGGGTTATTATAGCTGTATAGATGCAGTGACTCCGTTTCTGTGAATTAGTGCGTTACAAGCTTTTATTTATAATCATCAGTAGAAAGAAAAGCTTGATCTTGGACCTGTCCTGTTTTCTAATGCTGAACCTTTAGGGCCACAGAACGTTTATTTATAGGACGAAGCTACCTGAAATCAGTGTTCCTCAAATGTCTTCCAGTCAATTTATTTTAATTTCAGTTTGTGCCTTTCCCCTTCTCTCTTTACAGATGAGATCACTGCTAGTTTTCGTCGCTTTGGACCTTTGATTGTAGACTGGCCACACAAGGCAGAGAGCAAATCTTATTTTCCTCCTAAAGGTAAATATCTGATAACCAGTAACATATGAGTGCTTTAGAATTATTTGTCTTGATAGGACTCCATTTTAGACAAGATTTTTGTGACAATGACCCAATGTTTAGGGGAAAAAAATTTGAATCCGTGGGACTGTTACAAACTGGTGGAATTTAGAATGTGGCTTTGCAGTTATTCTGCACTAAAAGAATTCTTCCTTAACTTCCTGTTTTTACTTTATTCCATTTACCTTTTTCTCCCCCTGTTGTTCTTAATTTTTGTAATAATAGTCAAGACTAGTCCTCTTTAAAGGCACTAAATGCCTTCCACAGAAGCTGGGAAGGATTTGTACCTTATATTAACAGCCATCCTGCGGGTTTGCCTCTTCGGCTGCGGCTGTTGTTCAGTCCCTACTGCTGGCTTACCCTTGCCAAGGGAAAGGGGGAGAGGCCGTGCTGACCAGCAAGCTCCCTGCGTTCCTTCGTGCCTCGGCGGGGGACTTGCAAGAGGCTGGGTTGGAAATGTCTGAGCGCATCTTAAAGTTTGTCCCTTACTGTATGGGAGCATGATGACGTGGGGCCAAGCACAATTCTGGGTTAAATCATTATCCTATAGGCAAACGGACAAAAGAAGTTATGTGTTTGCTTTCCCTTTTGTAGGATATGCATTTTTGCTGTTCCAAGATGAGAGCTCTGTACAGGCACTGATTGATGCATGTATTGAAGAAGATGGAAAGCTCTATCTTTGTGTTTCCAGCCCCACTATCAAAGACAAACCGGTAGGTAGAATTGCCAGGGCCTGCACCATTCCTGTACGATAACCAGAAATTGTTCTCCTCAGATGCCTTTTTTCTGTCTTCAGAGTGCTAATGTTTAAATTTCTTTAAGGTGTCAAATTAAGTTCTGAAGGAGAAGACCAACTTACTTATTTTTAAACTAGACATTACAACATTTTTTAGTCTAGTTACAATTCATACTTTTGTTAGAAAAAGGTTTGCTAAATTTCACCATTGCTGATGTAATAAATATATTTCCAGACAGGTATTTTATGCTTATTATTGAATAAAAAGTAGAATTCGTATTGTCTGAGTGTTGCATGTAACATGTTTTGACAGAGACAAATTAAATTAAAAAACAATAACATGGCATTGAACTGTAAATTATTAGTACAAATGGTTTGGGGGCTGATGCGAGTCTGTTTATAGTTGGAGAGACTTCTGCTGTGTTCCTGTACTTCAAATTTGGCCAGCTCTAGGCAAATATAAAGCAGCTAGTTTTGCGTAGTAAATAAACGCACAACTTTGTGCACTGGAGCCTGTGGCATTGAGATAACGCTAGTCTAGTGCTTACACTCGGCTAGAACAACACGGGTCGCGGAGATACGTATGCACCGATGTGGTTCACACAGCACAGTTCAGTCCTGATTAAGTAAATGTGTAAGTAGAGGGTGAGTTTTTTCCCAGAACTTTGGGTAACAAGGAAGTGGTGAAATTTAGTGTGATCAAGTGGTCTGTCTTACCAGAGCTTATTGCCATTTCATTTTGAGAAATGATTGCTGAACGAGTAGACAACGAGTTTAGAAAGTACAGCTGTTTAAGAGGTTTTCTTCTTTGTAGGATGTTGTTTTAATTTATATTACTGAGATACTTTGAATTGTGAATGGTTAAAAAAAAAGGCTTTTTGTCCGTAGGTTCAGATCCGGCCTTGGAACCTTAGTGATAGTGATTTTGTTATGGATGGTTCACAGCCTCTTGACCCACGAAAAACCATTTTTGTTGGTGGTGTTCCTCGGCCTTTACGAGCAGGTACACTGCGTGTTCCGCAGCACTGGGCATGTTGAATATGCAGTCTGATTTGGGGAGCAACGGGGGCAAGAAGTTATTTCAGCAAGGGAAGTATTAAATGTTCTTGACACTTATAGCGGGGGACGTGAATCCAAATGGACTGTTTCCTTTGATGCTTTTAGAACAAATGACCAAGTCTACACCACTGTTTCGTTTTCCTTTCTGGTTTAGTGGAACTTGCAATGATAATGGACCGGCTGTACGGAGGGGTGTGCTATGCTGGAATTGACACAGACCCGGAGCTGAAGTACCCAAAAGGAGCTGGGCGGGTTGCGTTTTCTAATCAACAGAGTTACATAGCTGCTATCAGTGCTCGCTTTGTTCAGCTGCAGCATGGAGAGATAGATAAACGGGTAAGGTCTTCAAGCATATTCTATTTTTGTTCAGTGCTTTCTCTAGAAATGCTTTTCCATGTAAATGTGTGTCATTGTGAAGACAGTAAATGTTATATCAGATTAATTGCATATTTAGGGCTAGATTGTGCCACTTAGATACAACACAGTAAAAAAGAAGGAGTGGTACAGAGCTGTTGCTTCTGGAACGTGGGAGGCAACTGTGAAGCAGACTTTCTCAAATTGCTTAGCATAATGGGAAGCGTGGCAGCTGCCTTGCCCTTTTATAAGAATATTGCACTCGTCATATACTCCCACTGCAAGTATTTGCACTTGTAGTGTTTGTATAATGTCAGGGAGTAAGGTATCTGCCAAGGATGGAGCACTTCTCACTCCTGTTCTGCGTCTTTTGAGGCAGTGGGCAGAATCCGGCCCTAGTGTTACACATTGGGCGCTGGGTGTTCCTGAGGAGCATCAGAGTAAGGCATTGTAAACTTGTTAGTGTGCATTACAGCCGCACAGTCATCCTCCACAGCTTACGTAAAGGCTGTGGCCGGTTATTTTATTCCTTTATTAGTATAAATTAAAGGAATATGCCAAATGGATCTGCAGTTTTCTTGCCCCTGCCCTCTCATCTATATAAAATGAGACTTTGCCAATTACTGTGACCTTTGGGCCACAGTTTTGAGAAACTCGGATCCTTATATCCACCGCTCTGTCTAATTCGTGCTTTGTGTCTGGATTTTTCTTACATGACTGTCATTATTGATCTTAATTTTATAATTACTACAGAGGAAAACCCCCAAACTTGGCTGATTATCATTTCACTTCTGCTTTGGCTATAAAGCTTGGGTAGAAGAATTGTAACAACAATTTGACTGTGGGCCTGTGAATTGGAATGTCTTTGTTCTAATCTTGGCTCTGAAATAAGTTCTGTACGGCTTTGAACAAATAATTTGGGCCGCCCTTGTGCAACTTCTGCTTGCATAAGCAGGGTTTGGGTGAATAGGTTCATTGAAGCTGGTGGGACTACAAATTTAAGTAAGTACTTGTGAACTCTAGCAAAGATTCTGCAATCTATTTCCCCTTCCTTCTCTCCTCCCACTCCTTCTTATTTCCCCATTTTGTGTGTAGTTAAGAAGAAATGTGGGGAGACGAGTGCTCGGAGGATTCATTATAGAGGGGTTTGGGTGCATGAGAGAGAGAAAAGCGCAACAGTGGCCGTACTACTTTTATTAATAATTTTTTCTAATGTTTTTCTATAAAAATAAAATTAGTCACAAGAAGGGATTTCCTGTAAAATGAGGCAAGGAGGTGCTGCTAAAGGGCGTGCCCTTCGAAGAGATCATGCAAATTAAATGCTCAGTGGCCTGCAGCCCCCACCACCGCAGAGCTGCTGCCGAGTGCTGCCACCCGAAGCGTGCCTGATGAAGCCACTGTAATTTAAGCTCTTTCTCTGTAGTTGGGCTACCTCGATACACCTAGCACACGCAGCAGTTGCAGGCCATGTTTGGCACATGCGCTTCAGCCCACGCCGAATGAATGTGCCGAGGATTCTGACTATTACCTGTGGGCTGCAAACTTGCACAAAAACCAGTGCCGCAGTAACAGGCTAAAGCAAGCCGAGGTATAATTACCTGTGCTGTAGTCTGGCCTCTGAATCTCTCTGAGTAGCCGTAACAGAGCAGCAGAATTGCCATGCCAAGGAGCGTGCGTAGCATATTTGTAGGTTCTCCTCTTGGCACTTGTAGAAGACGACACTCATCAATGAATACCCAGCCTCAAACTGCAGAGCAAACTAGGTGATGGAGAATGTGGCGTGAGGAATATTTGTCTGCCTCTGCTCTCTTACAATTTCATCCTTCTGAGCTGGCATGGAGGGGTGTTTGAGAAATACAACTCTAGCAGTGGAAGAGAAGAAAAACTGAGGCCAAAAAAAAGGCTGCTGTACTGTCCCCACGTAGGTTATATGTACTATAAGCACATATAGAAGGCATCGAACTACTGCAGTGCCCTGCCGGGAGTGTGATAAAATTGGCTAAGTTTGAAACCACAAGAACTTGTGAATGTCCCTATTGGAATGAGCTGGCAGCGCTCCGCGGGCTGCGAGATGCAGAAAGGAGCATCCCTAGCCAGGTGCAGAGGTAACAGGTTAACGGTGGAGACACCAGTCACCAGCTGCGTATTTGGAACTGTTTGTGACACCACCGAATTAAATGAGCTTCAGAGAAGGCTCACAAACGCTTCTAGAACAGGAACTTGTACCTCTGCTTTTTTAACACAAAGTTTTGTGTTGTGCTTCTGATAGGCCGCGTGGACCTTTCACAGTCCTGTGGAGTGAAGGAATGGGAGTGGAGGTGATTACTGGTTTTGAGGTGAAACCGAGCCTTTAGGGGATGGCAGTGCTGCAGTTGTGATTTAAACACATAGGCATGTCTAAACGAGCTGTGCTCCAGCCAGCTTGGATACTGCGAGCAGCAAGCTTTGCCTTGCTGTCACGGAAAATGCGCTCCGGAGTGCTGTGAGCAGGGTTTTGCAGCCCACAGTACAGCAGGCTTGGTTTTGGTATGCAAATGCCTAGATTAAAAGCCGGTCGCCTGCAGATGTTGCAGTGTAGATGTATCCTTGGAGCACCAGCTGGCAAGTTCCTGTGAGTCATCATCAGTTAAGAACTTGAAGAAATATTTCTTCTCCTTTCTTGTCCGCTGTGCTGAATTACTGCTCATCATCTGGCCCTTCACGTCAACAGCGTAGGTGGCCATCGGTCCCATTTTAAGCTTCTCATTTGATCCCAACAAGATTAGGTAGGTTTCGTTTTGCTGAGAGAGCTAAGCCACAGAAAAAGAAAACAGAAATGTGCTGTTTATTAAGATGATAAATGAGATTTTTTTTTTAAAGCTGGAAATTCAGACGTTGAAATTTGCAGACCACGCGCATATTTAATCCGCAGTTCCAGTGCTGGGTAAACAGTTTGCATTACTCTGAAAGGGTTGGAGCTTAATTGTGCATCACCGTACTTGAAAATAACCCCCCAGACTCCTCCGGGGTTGTGATGTGAGGCTGCGTATCAGTCCTGTCACAACAGGCTCCTTGGTCCTTTCTGTCAGTCGTGACAGCGTGTGTGATACCGATGGTCAGCACCGGTTCCTGGGGTTTTTTTAAGGATCAAGGAGGACAGTGGGAGCGGGATTGTTCTCAAGTTAAGTGCCTGGAGTTTGGGGCATTCAGTGATGGTGATCATGTGTAATGAGGGGGGGGAAATTCTTGAGTGTGACGTTGCCTCCTACAGAACTGTGATGGCAGTCCTGCTAGGACACAGAGTAAATAGCGTGGAATTGTCATTATCGACGTTGCTATTAAGAATTGTCAACTTTCTTCTCATTTTCTGAATGCAGGTGGAAGTTAAGCCATATGTCTTGGATGATCAACTTTGCGATGAATGTCAGGGGGCCCGTTGCGGTGGAAAATTTGCTCCATTTTTCTGTGCTAACGTTACCTGTCTGCAGTATTACTGTGAATATTGCTGGGCTGCTATCCATTCACGCGCTGGCAGGGAATTCCACAAGCCCCTGGTGAAGGAGGGAGGAGATCGCCCAAGACATATTTCATTCCGCTGGAACTAAATGATCACTGCAGTGCTCATATGCAGGCCTCAAATTAAGTGCACTCTTCTGTTATCCCGATTGTCCCTACCCCACCCTACCCCTTCTCTTATTCAAGATAGCATGTCCTTTTGTAGTAGTCTGTAATTTAACAATCGTATAATGAAAGAATGACCTATAATATGGGTATTTTGTAGAATCTTGTCATTGAAAACTGTATTGGGAACTCCTTTTCGTATCGATAACATGTTGCAAGTGAGTTGCATTCTCTTGTCTTTACTACCGAGAGAACACTTAATTTCAGGCAACATTTTCTTAGAGGAGAGAAAAATATTAAGAAAAGAGAATTGAAACAATAGAGTATTTTGGTTTTTTAATTAAATTATTGTTAATAAAGAACATAAGAATACTTTTATTAAAATAACCGTGTAACAATAACACTATCAGTCTGTTCTGACACTTTTCCCCCAGGGAAGCCTGTTTTTGCCTCTCTTTTTGTTCGACTTTGGATTTTTCCAGCAACAGATGAAGTTAGCATTTACCTACCAACAGGAAAGAGCATGTTTAAAGCAACAAAAATGCATGAGCAAAGTTGAAGCAGCATTATAATAATGATCTTTTTTTAAAATCTGTTAAGGGTTTTGAGGCTGAAATTTTAGCTCGGTATGTATCTGACCGTGCCTCTGACTACCACCCACATCCAAATTACTAACCAGATAGGCAGAGCTTACTATATTTTCATCAAAATGATTACATTTTAAGATTTCCTGAATGTAAAAGTTGAGTAAAGTAACTACTGAGGGGGGAGTGCACTTTTTTTTTTCTTTAAGAGAATCGTCTGGTTACAGCCCTAGAAATCCTACCAAAGCTAGAGTAATGACAACTAGTTAACTGGCATTTCCTCTCCTGAAGGATAAATATATAGATTTTATTTTTGATGGCTATATATAACTCTATATCCTAATATACTAACATTCATCAGGGGCCAGCCTTTGCTCTCCATTTTGACGTGAAAAAGTAGAAAACCTAAAGATACCTCAAGGATATCACTGATTTTTACTGAAGTTTTGATATTCCATTGTGTCACACAAACTAAAATTGGCTGCTTACTCGTTTCCCATCTTGGGTGTAAAGTTAGTTTTAAACACCCTCTAACTTAGCTGTAACAGAAGGCATGAACCGAAGTAGTTTCCAAGTCTTGTTTTGCGCTGTTTTCTGCATTTGTGGGTGAAACGGTGCAAGCGCGCGTATGCCGTTCTTACTCTTCCTGTAGAAAGAATCCCGACTAAGATTCCACCTCTTCAGAACGTAATATGGGGAAATAACGAAACACAGGTATCTGAAGTGCCAACATTGCTGAGTTAATGCCTGCTTTATTACAAAGAAGTTCTACCTTGAGAAGCATTAACGCAGTACACGTTAACTGAATGGTAAAGAGCGGGTGCAGGGGTTTAGTTTGAAATAGTCGAATGAAGGAGTAGTTCTGAAAATGATTTTTCTTACTTTTGAACTAATGCCCTGGCCAGCTTCCCAAATGATTATTTAGCAGTGTGCAAACCAACAAATCCAGTGGCAATCTTCTGAACTGCCCGAGTGGCGCGGTACCATCCTAGATCCTCTCAAACCAAAGACTTGCCTCAGCACTGCTTGGAAAACATCAGCTCCGTGACAAGCCCTTGTCGGCCCCCCTCATCCCGTTCCCCCAGCCCGGATTATCTTTATGAGAAGCAGTTTTTATTTTCAATACAGGCTTTAATGAACTATACCTTACCAAGTTCCAAAGGTCAAAATGGAGACATTTGCTGTCTACTAGTCAAGTATAGAAAGGGAGCTGCTTTTAATGAAATCCCTGAAAATATTGACAACAGTAATGCAAATGCAGAGTGCTCTTGTGTAGATTGTCAGGGACTTTTTTTTCTCTGAAGTACATAATTATAGTTGGAATGTTCCTTTAATTTTTTTAACGCTTGTAGGTGGCTTGGGGTGTGCTATTGTGCCGATCCTACCCGGTGAACAGGTGAGATGGGTTACCATTACAAGAAATAACACTGTTTGAGAACTAGCTTTGAATAATAATTTTCCCTTTGTACATGACCTGCTGAATTTCGGTACAGTGTTTTTGTAGCTAACTTATTTTGTCATGCACATAATGTATATTTGTTATGCACTACTTTTGTATATCTTGTTTTTCCAACAGTGAGCATTTTTAGGCACACTTTTCACTGACGGGATATCTCTTTATGCAATACCTCAATTTTTCATATTGCAAAGAGTAGCTTTTTGTACTTTTATTACTGAGAGATCTTCATATACTTCATTTTTTAATATAAATAATTTTAATAAATTTTATTTTCTTATATTCTGCTTTTTATACATTTCAGTGCTCTGCATACATTTTGAATTATGGATGTTGTGCACTGGCAATGCTATTTTAGAATCTGCAGAGAAAAGAAAGCATGTTGCTTAAACATCTTAGCCCAGCACCAGGTATTTGGTGTACATATAATTTAAGAAATAGTATATGTAAAGTTGAGAATTAAAGAAGAAAAGCATGAAAGTGACAAATGACACTGTCTTTAGACCCATGAAATTTAAATGCATAAATATAGTGTAGAAATTTAAAAGTAAAGAAACATCAAAATTGTCTACCGCTTCTTACTAAGTTTTTAAAAATTATACACAAATGCAGACGTTTTTGGTGAATGTTTAGCCATTTTTAATATTAATAAAAGATTGATGTTAGGTGTTTGATGCAGAAATGTGTCTGCTCTTTTAAATTATATTTAAAGAATAAAAGAGAGCCTGCTAAGTGGCAGGCATGTAATGTTAGTATGCATGACTAATGTAAGAAATTGTTATTCTACTAATATTCACTTGTGATTGTGTGACAAGCGTGTTTACAGATTATTTGGTTACACTTCGATTTACAGGGCATAAACAATTGTATGCGTTACTCTGTACTTCGCTAGCGATGACACGTCCTGCTGATTACACGGGGTTTGTAGGTGGGGGTTACCATGTAGCTCCGGACTTCATTAGCGTGTAATCGGGTGAGCGATCGTAGGGTGTCCCTGGGATTCGCAGAGGGGTTGCTAAGCGTGCAGACGGGTCACACTAGCGTGGCACCGGCCATGTACTTACAATGTCGTGACAGAGTAATTACATGGTTATTTTTGCAATGTAAAATAAAGTGTTTCTGATTATTTTATATGTAAAGGAACCCCACTGCCCCGTGCTTTTTGGTAGAGTATATACTTCTCCATACACAGACCTCTGCAGAATGCAAATTGAAAACTTGCAGTGAATGAATTTAGCGTTTTATAAGGATGCTGTTGGAAAGACTTGATAATTCACCCCTTTTGTTTTTGAAGAGTTAAAACCTTCTGTTAAAAGGTGATTTAAAACTTGAATGTGATGAATTGTGGCAAGTTAACTTCAAGTTATGTGCAATACCTATTTCAGACTTCTGGAAGATCTTTGCAGTGTAATTCTTTGTTTTTAATTGCAGACATTTAAAAATGTCATTTTCTACTGTTCTAGTAAATCCTCTTTCTTGCTGGTGTTTCTAAAGAAAAGAATCAGAAATCAATCTTTCTACTAATGTAAATTTGAGATTATTTTTAAAAAAAAATGGAATAAAAGGTTTTGGTCATTTGCTTTATTTTATTATCTTATTTTAAAGCTACTGTGATAGCATTGTAAGAATTGGGACAATATTGTATTCAACTGTTTTATTTTTTATATTTTTAAATTTTAAAGTATAATTAGTTTTTATAATTTTCATCAGATTTTTTTGTTATATTTTTTGGAAGTGAAACTTTTAGCAAGTGGGTGTCTAGTTTTTACTAATCCCTAATATGTTTTTCCCCCCAATGTATTGCTCATATTATCAGAAGGAAAAGTTATTTAAGTATGTCAGTTAATTGTACTACTTGGCTGAATTTCCATATAGTTTTTACTGTGTATGGGGAGGTTGTAGTATTTATTATAGCATTTTAAATAAGGGTAATTCATTTTTTATTAAAGTCATTTTCACGTTTAAGTTCATATTTTTGTATGTTCTACTCTAAGTTATATAACACAAGTTACTTTTTTTAAAGAGTTCATTTGTTGAAGTGCTAGTGAAAATTAATGTTATTAAATAGTTTGCAAATGACTATTTATACCAGTATGCGTATAATTTTTAAATATTTGTAATGTGAGATGTTGAATGAATAAAACTTTTAACTCAATGTTTCTTCTTAACCTTTTTATTTTAAGCTCGCTGTAGAAGCATGTTCCTTTGTGGCTGAAGCTTATGGGGCTTGGGGAAGCGATTCTGCTGGAGCGTACGGCCCGCGCCTGGCTGCACGAGGTGTAAAGTGCCCTAGGCTGAGTTCTGCAGTCCTGCTGCGCGTCCCTGCCCCGAGCCAGGCGGGGGGGGGGGTTTGGGGGGGGGGGGGGGTGAGGGAGGGCACAACCACCGGAGAGGTGCCGAGTACCCCGAACACCGCCTTAAACTGGTACCAAATCAACGTGCAACGTTGCAGAAACGGAAAGGGCGATGGCTAGAGGCCTGTAGAACTGCTCTCTCTCGATTCAGGCTGTAAGAAGAACCCTTTTTACTGCTTGTGTCCAGATGTTGTCTTGAGGGAGTGTTGAATGCTAACTGCTGAATTTTGGGAATTTGGTGCTTGGTGAGTATTTGTTAGAAATCGTGCGTCTGAAGAGCCTTTCAGCAGCTTCAGCGCTGCTGTTTCTATTTTTTGCACAGCCGTAAGCATCTCAACCTAGCCAAAGAATTGCAGTTGGATCACTTCTTTCTACTTAGTGCTCTCTGCTGCTGACTCACAGGGACAAAGATGACAACCAATGCACAGCTGCGAAATCAAGCTCACGGGGCAGGTGACACGTTCGATGAGCAGAGTACCACTGAGGCGCATGTAATGCATCACGTAAGTCAGAAACCACGGTGCGGCTGGGACAAAAAGATAACCAGGCTAGGCCCAGGGTAGGCCAAGCGAGGCGTGGACAGACAAGGATTCTTTTTTGCTTGTCTCATGGTTGTGATCTGATACTAAGAGAAGGAAAAAGCCTGGTGGTTTAAAGAGCTTGCTAGCGTCAGCCTTTAATTTAAAATATCTAAACTTGAAATGTCTAAAAAGTCTCGCGAAGTGTTACGACTTTTACGTATCCGCCCTTCAAGGACTGTTCAACAAGAACTGTGCGTGAAGGATTCCAGAGTTTTGCATCCTCAGTAGGTAAGAATTCCCCAGACTTCTTGGGTTTTCTCACTTTGATACAAACAGCTAGGCTTCAATGGAGTGTACTTCTGATGGGTCTGGAGGTGGCTCTGCTAAGTGGAACCGTGGGTTGGAACATGCCTGGGTACCTTGTGAGACAAACCCGCTGCCCCGAACACCGTACCGCGCCCGCTGCGCTGGGCAGCGCTGCGCTGTTGGCGGCTGAGCCGCTCATCTCTTGTGCCATCGTCTGAGGAACGGTGGTGTAGATGTTCAACAGATGTGGAGTATCATTCTTTTCCGTGGGTGCTTCAGGAAACACAGATCTTGCAGAATTGAGCTATAATGGGATTAGCTCTGCAAGATGCTAATCGCTTCATTTCCCGCT